CCAGGAGCAGCCCTCGCTCAGAAGTTGTGGCGGTTTATGGAAACCCAGCATGTGCTGGGAGCTCACACGCGGGTCTTCACCTGTTGCCCACGGGGACCCTGCAAAGGAGGTGCTGGATCCTTTAGTGACCGGGAAACTGAGGCTGGGAGGGCCAAGTCATCGCATGGGGGGAACCTGGGTTTAACCTTTGCACCCGTTTTTCATTTAAGTTGGTTTAAAAGTTTTGGATATTCTTTCACTCACTCATTCGTTCGTTCATTCATTCATGACAGGCGTTCTTCTGTCCGACCCAGTGTTGAGAGAGAGGCTGCGGGGTGGAGGACCCACAGCCACTACCCCAGAGGGTCCCGGCTGAACCCGAATCCCGCCGGCCACTCTGCTCTGATGGGATTCTGGGACTTCTTTGTGCCCCACTTTCGTGTCCATGGAATGGGAATGAGGCTTAGTGAAGAGATGAGGTGCTGCGGGTCTTCAGGACTGAAGGTGGTGCCAGTGTGGTGCCAGTGATGATTCCCTATCCACCCGCAGGAAGCCCTAGGCAGAGACAGTAGGGTGGGAGGACGGCTCTCCCCTGCTGGCTCCTGGCTCTGGCGTTAGTGAAGGCTGGGTTGTGCCTGGCGCTGTCACAGCTCTTGGTGAACATTATCTCCTTTATTATTATTTTTTGTCGTGGTCAGGTTTCGAGTAGAGAACGCTGACGACCTCTCACTTCTCATGAGTTATTTCTTTTTGTTGTTTTTTCGAGTTGGCGTCTTCCTCTGTTGCCCAAGCTGGAGGGCAGTGGCACAATCGTGCCTCACGGCAGCCTTGACCACCTGGGCTCAAGCGATCCTCCCGCTTTAGCTTCCCGAGTAGCTGGGACTACAGGCACACACCACCCAGCCTGTCTAATTAGTTTTTTATTTTTTTGTAGAGACAAGGTCTCCCTGTGCTGCCCAGGCTGGTCTCGAACTCCTAGGCTCAAGTGATCCTTCTGCCTCGGCTTCCCAAAGTGCTGGGATGACAGGCGTGAGCTGTTATGCCTGTCCGTCATGAGTCATTTTTAGAGTAAGAAGCACTAGTCTGTGTAATCACCTTTAAGGGAGGAAAATGGGATACCTGACAAGAATTTAAATCCCATTCCAGGTTTATCCTGAAACCACATTGAAGTTCCACCAAATTCACAGCATAAGCCTCATATGAGGAAACTCCTCATATGAGGATACCAAGATTCAGGCATCTGTGTTGGAATGATCTGAGAACGTGGATCCAAATTAGTTGTCTAGGGGTGAGGGGCACGGTGGTTTAGAAATTCAGAGCTGGAACAGAGAACCATTCTATATGGATGGAGGTAGGTTTATTTATTTATTTAAACGTACACATCTTTTTTGGCTCTTCTTTTTGGCTTCAGTTTATGAGCATCAGGACAAATACCACTTCACAAATACACCTTCAATGTGTCATAGAGAGCCTTCCATGTATTAACTCATTTCATTCCCACAGCAACCTATTTTTCAGATGAGGAAACAGAGGCACGGAGAGGTTAAGGATCTTGCTGCAGGTCCCTGGTGGTCAGTAACAGAGCCAAGATTCACACCTGGGCATTCTGGCTCCGGAGTCTGTGTCCTCAGCCACAGCGGGCCCCACCAGTGACACGTCTTTCCACGGAATGATGTCAACCTAGAACTGAAAGCAGTTCTTTTCGCCTGTCACTCAGATTTCAGGGGTCTTTCTCTGGGGGTCTGGTCATCCTTGCTTTTTCCTGCCAGTGGGTTTTCTGCGTGTTGTGTCCGTGAACTTCTTCTTCTGTGGGAGTGTCTCTCCAGCCATGGGCACAGCAGTGAGTTGTATCTATGCTTCTGTTGTCCTGGAGGGGATCTGGGTTGAGTGCCTGGATGACACCTTTGAGGAACAGCAGTCTATAAAGGAGAAAGTGATGTGTCAGAATGCCAGACACTCCAGGAAAGAGAGTTTTGTCTTTTCAAGAGGTTGTCCTTGCGACAGGGAAAGGGGAGCATTGAAGGAGAACTCAGGACCTTTCTAGCACATAGAAAGCACATCATGTGAACTAGCATGGCTTGTGGAGGCCACTTAGTGGTTTGTAATTTCTGGGGAATAAAGTTTGAGGGTGAGAGAGGGGAGGTGGGACATAAGCTGAAGATCGTCCCTGTGAATACTTTTGTATATCGTGCTGCAGAGTTTGGGTATTAGGAAGATCACTTTGTAGGGTGAAGGGACCATTGGAGGGGCAGGGAGGCCGGTGAAGACCCAGGTAAGAGCCCAGTAAGAGATTATAAGGGTCTAGACTGAGGCAGTGAGGACCAGACAGGTTTTTTTGTTTTTGTTTTTACTTTTGTCGGAGTCTCACTCTGTTGCCCAGACTGGAGGGCAGTGTCATGCTCACAGCCACTTCAGCCTCAACCTGCTGGGCTCAGATGATCCCTCCACCTTAGTCTCCCGAGTAGCTGGGACTACAGGTGCATGCCACCTCGCCCAGCTAATTTTTTTTTTGGGTTGGAGTCTCACTCTGTCACCCAGGCTAGAAGGCAGTGGCACGCTCCCAGCCACCACAGCCTCGAACTGCTGGACTCAGGCAATCCTTCTGCCTCAGCCTTCCATGTAGCTGGAACTACAGACACATGCCACCATGCCCGGCTAATTTTGTCATTTACTGTTGAGATGAGGTCTCACCAAGTTGCCCAGGCTGGTCTTGAACCCGTAGACTCGGGCAATCCTCTCACCTCGGCCTCCCAAAGTGCGGGATTATAGGCGTGAGCCACCACGCCCGGCCTGGCTAATTTTTTTATTTATCTTAGGGATGAGGTCTCTGCCAACTTGCCCAGGTGTGCCTTAAACTCCTGGACTCCGGCAATCCTCTCGCCTCCACCTCCCAAAGTGCTGGGATTATAAGTGTGAGCACTGTGCCAGGACCGGACAGTTTTTTTTTTTTTTTTGAGTTGGAGTCTCACTCGGTCACCCAGACTGGAGTGCAGTGGCCGCTTCCCGCCACTGCAACCTCACCTGCTGGGCTTCAGTGATTCTTCCGCCTCAGCCTTCCGAGTAGCCGGAATTACAGGCATGTGCTACCACGCCCGACTGATTATTTAATTTATTGTAGAGATGAGATCTCGCTGCCCAGGCGGGTCTCGAACTCGCAGGCTCAGGCAATCCACTCACCTCAGCCTCCCAAAGGTGAGGGATTACAGGCTGAGCCACCGAGCCCGGCTAGGACCGGACAGTTTTAAAAGGTGGAATTGATGGGACCTCTTGGTCCAAAGGCATGAAGGAGAAGTGTAGGGGACCACAGGCGCCATGTCCCATCCCCAGACTTCCGGTTTGTAATGGTGCCCCAGACTCAGGAAGTTACCCTCCAAGTGGGCAGGCTTGTGGCTTAGCTACTGAGTTTAATTCTAGACTCATTTAACTCAAGTTCCTGTGGGAAGTTCAGGTCAAGACAGCCAGTAGGCAGTTGAGCAGATAACCTGTTGCTCAGGAAAGATGCCTCCTTGTCAGTAGGGACCAGTTGGCCATCCAGGGCTGACCCTGCTGGTAGGCACCTTGGGGACAGATGGGGTGTGTCTTGGCACCCATTCCAACCCTGCCTCAGTGGGGGCATTGCTAGGTACTTTTCCATCTCCCTGGGCCCCTTAGATATAACATTTTAAATTGACATGTTACATATATACAGAAAATTGTGCACCATACTCTACAACCTGATGCATCATCCTGGAGTGAACATAGCTATGTCTCCTGCACACAGATCACCTCTCCTCCTGTCCTCTCCTCCAAACTCAACCATCCTTACACCTAAACATACTTTCAAGTTTAGACAGATGGAATCAAAAAGCACGTACTCTTTGTCTGGCTGCTTTTATTTGACACTGTGTTTGTGAACTCCATATTGTGTGTTACAGGAGACAGTTGGTTTTCATTACTGTGCAGTATTTCATAGCGTGACTATTCCACAGGTTATTTCTTTACCACACACAGACATTGAGATTATTTTATTGTGAATTGTATTTCTTGCATATGTCTTTTGGGGTACAGTTGTGCATCACTTAGCAGCAGAGAAAGGAATTGCTAGGCGATTTTGTCATTGTGTGAACATCATAAAGTGTACTTACACAAACCCAGAGGATACAACCTACATAGTAGACTATATGGTTTAGTCTATTTCTCCTAGTCGACAAACCTGTGCAGCATGTGACTGAACTGACATGTACTGAATACTGTAGGCAGTTGTAACACAATGGGAAGTCTCTGTGTATTTAAACATCTAAACATAGAAAAGGTACAGTGAAAATACAGTACTACAGTCTCATGAGAACACTGTTGCTTGTGCAGTCCATCAATGACCAAAGTGTGATGCAAAGCATGACTGTGCTTGGACATGCACTTTGTTGGGTATTTATGGGTCACATGGGCCTGTGGTCAGCTGCCAGGCAGTTTTACAAGGTGACTGTAACAAATTACACTCTCACAAACTTTTGATGAGTGTTCCACTTTCTCCACAATAATTGTTGACTAGTTGACTATTTTGAATGTCAAACCTTGTAACAGTTTATAGTTTAACCAGATAACTTTTCCTGAGGCAATATTTACATCCAGACCAGAATCTCCTAGGATGGGGTCCGTTCTTCTCTTTCAAGCTGGGACCTTAGCCCAGGGGTCTTTTGAGCCACAGCAGCCCAGGCCTGTCTTCCCCAGTTCCTCCGTCTGGAATGGACTGAGACTGATTTCTGATCCTTTTTCTTCCGGTAGAGACACCTTTTCTGGAAAAACAGAGCTATCTCCCATGAATTCCCCTTAGGACTTGCTCATCGGGACTCAGAGCCCCTCTCTGGCTGCTCGTCCCCAAGAGACCCCGAGCAGGGTCCTGTGTGTGCTCCCTTTCGTTCCGGAGATGGGGAAAGCGACTTAACTTCTGGTTTGCCTTTTGCTTTGTGTTTTCCTTCTGTGGACCAGCTACCAGGGCCAGTGCCAGAGACAGAGTTCAGCTCTGAAGCTGGAGTCAACACGGCCAGCCTGTGGCATCCTGGTTGCCACCGCACTTGAAACTGACTTCACTCCTTCTATGATCTATCCACGTGAGATTCTGTGAGGAGGGTGGAGTGGTGGCCACATGCCAGCCTGGCAGTTATCATTGGGGACTTGGGGAGGTTACCGGATTGATAATGTCACTTCTGTGGTTTTACCTAGCATGGTCACTTGCGATAGTCCCCAAAGTGGGGCGTGTTCCCCAGAGCAGGGCAAAGGGGACCCTAGGCAGTGTCATAATAGACACCCATTTTATGTATGAACTCATGTCTAGGCAAACCTGCAGCCTCCCGAGTAGCTGGGGCTATAGGCACGTGCCACCATGCCTGGCTAACTTTTTAAATTTATTGTAGAGATGAGATCTCGCCATGTTGCCCAGACTGGTCTTGAGCTGCTGGGCTCAGGCAGTTCTCTCGCCTGGGCCTCCCAAAGTGCTGGAATGACAGGTGTGAGCCACCATACCTGGACTTAATTTAGCATTTTATGAATATGTGTAGGCTTATTTAACATCTGCACACACACACAAAGTTTTTTACTGATGAGGAACCCAGGCAGAATTCTTTTGGACACACTGGCCTGTTGGACGTCTCTCCTTACTGGGGTGCTGAGCACATGTCAGCTTCAGTGCTGCTCATTTTCGACTTGAGATGTTCTATGTCCACCACGCTGAGTGCTGCCAAGCAGGTCTTAAGGGGACTGGCCCCCAGTTTCTGCCCTGATAGGACTTTGTGTCAACCTTTTATGGGACATTTTGTTGTTGGCTTGGTAGAGAAAAGAAAACATCCACTGGTGTTCTTTAAAAAACTCAACCTAAGCCAGGCTTGGTGGCTCAGCCTGTAATCTCACGCCTTTGGGAGGCTGAGATGAGTGAATTGCCTGAGCCCGCGGGTTCAAGACCTGCCTGGGCAGTGAGACCCCATCTCTACAATAAACCAAAAAAAAAAAAATCAACCGGGTGTGGTAGCACATGCCTGTAATTCCGGCTACTCAGAAGGCTGAGGCGGAAGGATCGCCAGAGCCCAGCAGGCCGAGGTTGCGGTGGCCGGGAGTGGCCACTGCACTCCAGTCTGGGAGACAGAGTGAGACTCCAACTCAAAAACAAAAAACAAAAACAAACAAACAAACAGACAAAAACTCAACCTAGGCCAGGCTCAGTGGCTCAGCTTGTAATCCCAGCACTTTGGGAGGCCGAGGTGAGATTGCCTGAGCCTATGGATTTGAGACCAGCTTGGGCAACTTGGTGAGAGCTCGTCTCTACAATAAATAAATTTTAAAAATTAGCTGGGCGTGGAAGTGTGTGTCTATAGTTCTGGCTCCTTGGAAAGCTGAGGCAGAAGGATCACCAGTGCCCAGTGAGTCAACGCCGGGGTGGCTGTGAGCCTGCATGCCACTTGTACTCGAGTCTGGGTGACGGAGTGAGACTCCAACTAAAAAAAAAAAATCAACATAAGGCCAGGCACGGTGTCTCACACCTGTAATCCCAGCATTTTGGGAGGTGGAGACAAGAGGATTGCCTGAGCTCAGGGGTTCGAGACTAGCCTGGGCAACATGGCGAGACCTCGTCTTTACAATAAGTCAAAAAATCAGCTGGGCATGGTGGCACACACCTATGGTTCCAGCTACTCGGAAGGCTGAGGCTTAGAAGTCTCGCCTAAGCCCAGCAGGTCGAAGCTGAGGTGGCCATGAGCATGTCACTGCACTCTAGTCTGGGCCATGGAGTGAGACTCTGCCTCCCCACAAAATCAACATAAATAACAGAAAAGAACTGCAGTTGCATATTGTGGTCATAGCAAAGAAGGGAAATGGTGAGAGAAAATGCATACATGGGTGAGGCTGGAAAAGGAGGAAGCAGGTGTAGAGAATGAAGACACTGAAAGCAGGTGTTAGTGTGGAGGGAAAGGTGTGGAGACAGGATGGAAGGGGCAGTCTTGCCAGTAGGTTTCAGGATGCATGCACTCAGCAGGTGTCCAGAGGCTGTAAGGCCAACACTGCCTTCCTGGAAATGCCGAGATGCTAGCTGCCTTTTTACTCTCATTCTCATGGGAGTACAGTGGAGTTTCCCAGAGGGTGATGACGTGTGATAACGCATCAGGTTGAATTTGGATGTGGACATGAGAAACCAGCTGTCTTCTATTAATCCAGGTATTAAATGTGAAACAGTGTCACTCTTCTTGCTCATTGTGTTTTGAAAACTATATATATATATATATATATACAGACAGAGAGAGAGAGAGAGAGCAAGAAAGAGAGAGAGAGAGAGGGTTTCTGAGTCTCTTGTTGCCCCGGCTGAAGTGCAGTGACACACGCACAGCTACCACAGCCTTCACTTAATTACTTACTTACTTGGGTTCAGGTGACCCTTCTGCCTTAGCCTTCCAAGTAGCTAAGGCACACACTCCAGCTAATTTTTGGATTTATTATGGAGACGAGGTCTCACCATGTTGTCCGGGCTGGTCTTGAACCCCTCTTGCCTCTGCCTCCCAAAGTGTTGGTATTGTGGGCATGAACCACCACACCTCACCTAGAGTTTTTTTTTTTTTTTGTATTAAACTAGAGTGGTACTCTTTGGAAAGAAAGCCACAGAGGTGAAGTGCCTTTCCCATCATGTCATAAGAGCAGGGACAGCCTGTCCACGTGATGCCCTGGAGATGTGAACCTCCATGACTTGGTGGTTTATGGGGTTTACAGGTTTTCCCCGTTGCAAAGTTTCTATTTTCCCCTTTTTCCTACTCTGTTCTTTGGAGACAAGTCACTAAGACTAGCGAAGTACATGGTGGGAATTAACCTCTGCTTCTGGAAAGAGGAAATATCTACAGATAGTAGTTAGAATTCTAACGTAAGAAAGATTGATCTCTTCTCCCCCTCTTATTTATTTGTTTAATCATTTATGTGTATAAGTGTGGTGTATTTTTTTTGAGTTGGAGTCTCACTGTCACCCAGACTGGAGTGCATTGGCCGCTCCCAGCCACCGCAGCCTCGACCTGCTGGACTCCGGCGATCCTTCCGCCTCAGCCTTCCAAGTAGCTGGAACTACAGGCGCGCGCTACCACACCCGACTAATTTTTGATTTATTGTAGAGATAAGGTCTCACTGCCCAGGCGGGTCTCTAACGCGCGGGCTCAGGTATTCCACTCACCTCAGCCTCCCAAAGGTGTGGGATTACAGGCTGAGCCACCAAGTCCGGCTGTGTGGTGTATTTTTACAGTAGAACTAGTACATAGTAAATTGTCTATAAATGTGAGTTATTCTTATTTTAAAAACATTTACCACATTTCATTGAAATTATTTGTTTAAAAGTCTTCCTGCTGGGCTCGGTGGCTCAGCCTGTAATCCCGCGCCTTTGGGAGGCTGAGGTGAGTGGAATACCTGAGCCCGCGCGTTAGAGACCCGCCTGGGCAGTGAGACCTTATCTCTACAATAAATCAAAAAATCAGCCGGGCATGGTAGCACATGCCTGT